AACCCTAAATCCCAGACCCCTAAACCCTAAACCCTAACCCTAGGCTCAGAAGCACGTAAGTGCGCTGCTGACCTGGTTGAGGGAGGGCGCAGCAGCAGCAGCAGCTGCTGCTGCTGCTGTTGCTGCTGCTGCTGTTGCTGCTGCTGCTGGAGCGGGCTCTGGTCTCAGCAAATCGTCTAAGAGAGAACCAGAGTCTGCTGCTGCTGCTGCTGCTGCTGCTGGTTGTTCCAACATAAGCAAGTCAGCAGACGGTGCAGCAGCAGCAGCAGCAGCAGCAGGTGCTGCAGCTGCTGCTTCGGAGTCCTCCTCGTCTGCTGCAGCAGAAGCACCTGATCGCAGCAGCAGCAGCACTTCCTCTGCTATTGTTTGCAGCTGCGGGGTTTTGCTGCAGTCACTGATCTGTTGCTGCAGGTTTGCTGCTGCAGCAGAAAGAAAGCTGCAGCGGCCCTCCTGCTGTTGCTGCTGCTGCTCTTGCTGCAGCAGCGCCTGCGGCAGCACAGTCAAAGGCAGCAGCAGCAATTCCGTGCAGCGGCAGCAGCCGCAAAGCAGCAAAATCATCCGCATGCCAGCAGCAGCAGCAGCAGCAGAAACAGCAGCAGTAGGAACAGCAATCGTAGCAGCAGCAGCAGCAGCCTAAGCGGTCGTAGGAGCGGCAGCAGCAGCAGCATGACCGATCGTAGGAGCGGCAGCAGCAGCAGCAACAGCGATCGCAGGACCAGCAGCAGCAGCAACAGCAGCAGCAGCAGCAACAGCAGCGATCGCAGGACCAGCAGCAGCAGCAACAGCAGCAGCAGCAGCAGCAGCAGCAGCAGCGATCGCAGGACCAGCAGCAGCAGCAACAGCAGCAGCAACAGCAGCAGCAGCGATCGCAGGACCAGCAGCAGCAGCAACAGCAGCAGCAGCAGCAGCAGCAGCAGCAGCAGCTCGCACTTTGATTCCGTGCAGCAGCCTGAGCTTGGAGGCCCAGAGCAAGTCTGTCTTTGCAAGTTGCTGCTGCAGCAAGCAGCACAGCAGCAAAGGGTCCAGAGGAGCAGCACGCTGCGTAAAGTCGCGCAGCGCAGCAGCAGAAGGCCGCAGCCGCATTCCAGAGACTGCAGCAAGTTCAGCAACAACTCCTGCTTCGTAGGCCCCCGGGCTGCTGCTGCTGCTGCTGCTGCTGCTGCTGCTGCTGCTGCTGCTGCTGCTGCTGCTGGTTGCTGCCAGCGCAGCGGGGGAGGGCGCCGTGTAGAGGCTCGAAGGCGGGGGCGACCAGGGGCTCCGCCCCTGCTGCTGCTGCTGCTGCTGCTGCTGCTGCTGCTGCACTGTTGCAGGCAGGTACGAAGAGCTGCTGCTGCTGCTGCTGCTGCCGAAGCCCCGCTGCACCGGCTGCGCGAAGCCAGCAGCCACGTACCCCCCATGATTGCTGCTGCTGCTGCTGCTGCTGCTGCTGCTGCTGCTGCTTCTGCTGCTGAAGTAGGGGGCCCCCAAGGAAGGCAGCCGCCGCTGCAGCGCAGCAGGAAGGTACTTAGCAGCAGCATCAGCAACAAGCTTGAGGGCTTGTTCGCTTGCTGCTGCTGCTGCGCTGTACTGCTGCTGCTGCTGCAGCGCCAGGCAGCTGGGGTTCTCAATGGCTGCCAGCCGCCCGCTGCTGCTGCTGCTGCTGCTGCTGCTGCTGCTGCTGCTGTCAGCAAACAGCAGCCCCAAAGCAGTTGCTGCTTCGGCGCGAGCGTCAGCAACAGGAGATTCACCAAGAATAGGATGCGGCGGGGCCCTGCAGTCCACTCTAAACCCTAAACCCTAAACCCTAAACCCTAAACCCTAAACCCTAAACCCTAGACCCCCTAAACCCGCAGCCCTTGCCACCTGCAGCTGGCCCCCATCCTGCTTCTTTTGCTGCCCTTGTAAGTGCTCTTCGAAACTGCACCTCGTTAGGGTTTAGGGTTGGGGTTAGGGTTAGGGTTTAGGGTTTAGGGTTTAGGGTTTAGGGTTTACCTGAAGGTCTCGAGGGCCCTCAGAGGGTTTGGGTTGCTGCTGCGCAGCAGCGGCTTGAAGGCATAGGGGCCCTCGCGCAGCAGCAGCGTGCAGAGGCGGGCACATTTGTAGGCGAGGAAAGGGTTTGCTGCTGCTGCTGCTGCTGCTGCTCTGTGCTGCACTGTTTCCAGGATGTACTGCAGCAGCTGCTGCTGCTGCAGCGGCGGCAGCTGCTGCAGCTGCTGCTGCAGCTCCCGGAAGCGAGAGTACGGCGGCGGCTCCTCCTCAGTGCCCAGCAGCCGCAGCACAAGCAGCCGGTCCATCATTTTGCTGCTGCAGCAGCAGCAGCAGCTGCTGCTGCTGCTGCTGCTGCTGCGCAGGGGAACGCTGCTGCAGCACGGCGCGCTGCAGATTCTGCTGCGTCTGCGGCTGCTCGAGACGCAACAGCAGCAATTTAAAGCTACAAGCCAAGCAAAACTGGCTGCTGTGGAAGCTGCTGCTGCTGCTGTTGCTGCAGTTGCTGCTACTGCTGCTGCTGCTGCTGCTGCTGCTGATCAGCCCGACGCCTCACGTGGGGCCTGCAGCTTCTTCAGCAGAAAAGAGCAGCAGCTGAAAGCTGCGAAAGAATTAAAACAAGACAGGCGCAGCAGCAGCAACAGCAACAGCAGCATCAGCAGCAGCAGCTGCTGCTGCTGCTGCTGCTGTCGGCCCACAAATTGCTCGTGCAGTGGCTCAAAGGCCGCAGCAGTAAAATGTGGAACAGAATAATTTGTGTTTCCGTTTGTTGTTGCTGCTGCTGCTGTTGCTGCTGCTGCTGCCCCGCGTTTCACTGCAGCCGCCTCCGCAGCAGCAGCGGCGGCTGCTGCTGCTGGTACGCTGCTGCTGCTGCTGCTGCTTCGGCTGCCGCTGCTGGTGCTGCTGCAGTGTCTGCTGCTGCAGCACAGCCTGCAGCTAAATATTTACTGTAACCGAATTTAGTAGAAAGGTAAGCTGCCCCAGCTGCTGCAGTTGCTGCTGCTGCAGTTGCTGCTGCTGGGTTCAGCTCCCCAGTGTGACAGCAGGAGCAGCTACGGCAGCAGCAGCAGCAGCTGCAGCTGCTGAAGCTGCAGCAGCAGCTGCTGTCGTTCCAGCGCTTGTCTCTCTTTGACTTCCTGCAGCAGCAGCAGCAGCAGCAGGGCTTGGTTTGCTGCTGCTGCTGCTGCTGCTCCCGACGCCGCCCAGGCGGGTGACCTCGCAGGCCCGCCAAACCCTAAGCCCTAAACCCCAAACCCTAAACCCTAGGCCCTGAGCGGCACATTTGACCGACTCTGGCGCAGGCCGTCTCAAACCCCAAACCCTAAACCCTAAACCCTAATTTCGCAAGCTCGATGGATGCTGAATTGGCCTGTGCGTGAGCTGCCGAAACCCCAAACCCTAAACCCTAAACCCTAAACCCTAAACCCTAGTTCTAGCCCTTCATTGCCCCCACCTCAAGCCGAAATGGCTGCGCTGGTGTTCGCAGCAGCGCCTTCAGCAGCAGCAGCCGCTGCAGCAGATGTCGCAGCAGCAGCAGCAGGCGGAGGCTCTGCAGCAGCAGCAGCAGCAGCAGCAGCAGCAGCAGCAGCAGATTCGAGCCCCGAGGGTTTACGAATCTGCAGCCTTTATGCCTGGCTGGACACTTTGCCTCTCTCCCGGCCCAAGCGGAACTTACCCAGGGATTTCGCCGACGGCGGTAAACCCTAAACCCTAAACCCTAAACCCTAAACCCTTGAGAGCTTCAAGCTTCGAGGCGCCCAACAGAGAAGCCCGCGCGCTCGAGGCTGGCAAATTTTGAAGAGCAAGTCTGGGCTCTTGACTCCACGATTGAGGGTTTAGGGTTTAGGGTTTAGGGTTTAGGGTTTAGGGTTTGGGCTGCGCAGTGTTGATGGCTGAAGTTGCAAACCACTGCATTCCCCGCATTGCGGACCTCCACAACTACAGGTCGAGCCGGAAACCCTAAACCCTAAACCCTAAACCCTAAACCCTCGTCTGCTCTCCCAGCGGGGCAGTCTCACGCAGTTGCTGAGGGTTTAGGCTCTAGGGTTTAGGGTTTAGGGTTTGCTGCTGGTTGCAGCACAGCGAACTCCTTCCAGCAGAAGCGCTACAACTGGGAAACCCTCGCAGGTCGGACTGAGGGTTTAGGGTTTAGGGTTTAGGGTTTAGAAAAGGGCCCACAGGTTGGGGTTTAGGGTTTAGCATTAGGGTTTAGGGTGCACTCGGGAGGCCCTGCCCGCGTGTACTAGGGTTTGGGGATTAGGGTTTAGGGTTTAGGGTTTAGGGTTTGCATGCAGAAAGGGTGTTTAAGAGAGTGGGACTCAGACTCAGCGCAAAAGAAATAGACCAAGTTGTGGCAGCAAAGCCGGGGGCTGCAGAAAGCATTATTCTGAAGTTCAAACACCGGGTAAACCCTAAACCCTAAACCCTAAACCCTAAACCCTAGACGCTAGTCTGCAAACCCGCACGCAGACGGCCTTCGAACTTGCTGCGCTTCCAGCGGCGTGCCAGCGCAGTGGCTGTTTGCCCTGGGGGCCCTAGGGTTTAGGGTTTAGGGTTTAGGGTTTAGGGTTTGCGCGCAGGCAGAAGCACTGAAGCAGCAGGCAGCGAAAGAGGCGGACTCCAACCCTAAGCAAACTCGCTTGACTCGTAAATTTAGGGTTTAGGGTTTAGGGTTTAGGGTTTAGGGTTTGCGGATCCAGAGGGCTGGATGTCTCGGAGTTGAGGTTAAGTCGCGTGGGCAGTCCGATTTGTGCTGGGGTTTAGGGTTTAGGGTTTAGGGTTTAGGGTTTAGGGTTTGCGCTCAGGGTGCCCACCGCAGGGGTCCCCGAGACCCGTTAGTGAGCAGGAATGGGTGGCTATACTGGTAACTAAACCCTAAACCCTAAACCCTAAACCCTAAACCCTCATTATCAGTACCTGAACAAACCCTAAACCCTTGAGCGTCGAAAACACTGGACGGATTTGATGGAGGCTGTGCGCCCGAACAGTCTAGAGTTTAGGGTTTAAGGTTTAGGGTTTAGGGTTTAGGGTTTAGG